AGAGAGAAAAAAGCATGGCAAGTGATTTTCAGCTTATAGAAGAGAGCCTGACTCTGCTTTGCATGTTTCCAGAAAAAGCCAGCTCCTACTTTTTGAAGCATCTGACAGATCTGTACTACTCCCAGTGACATCTTAGTGGTGCAAAGGCAAGAACAGGCAGCTTATTCTCTTGGAAACCTGAAATCTGCTTCGGCAGGAGAACAAATATATGTGTCACGGCCCATCCAGCTTAGGCTTCACCAAGAAGATGCCTGCTCCTTGCTGCCCACATTGCATTTGGTGTTCTCTACTGCTTCATTTGGTGKCTCCGTGTCTTAGCTAAATGAGGATCTTGCTGCCAGTGTACACAGCAAGTTTCCATGTTTAACTGTTTTAGGAGTGCTGGCACAGACTGTGGTTTGCCTGGCAAGTTGTGCTCCTCCTCAGGAAACCCAGTACGGAGCGTACCTCARTTGCTGCAAGAGCCACTCCTGGCCTTGTCCAGCCTCATGCACAGCTTTCCCCGGAGCTTCTGCAGCATCACTGCCCAGCTCTGACCATCACTGCCCAGCTGGGATTGGCACAGGGCACTGCTGCCCAAGGGCACCACTCACATCTTTCCTTTGCTGGGCTTCCTCATCTTTCCAACAGTYCGGTGCTCCCATTTCTGGTGGTCCCTCTAGGTTGAAGCTCTGCCTGTTCCTGTGTCAGCCACTGCCTCTAGTTCAGYGCTCCCATCACCCCAGAGCATCAACCCTGTGCATCTCCCATACTGTATGGCAAATCTCACACCAAATTCCCCTAAGTGGGGCAGGATCCCAAGGGAATGGTCAGAGGTGGTGTTCTGCTGTGAGAGAGCCCGCCCTGCCCCCCTGCACCTGTCCCTGATGCCGCTCACCTGCTGCAGCTCGTGTTTCCCTCCTTCCACCCGCCGTGCTGGGTGGACCCTAAGGCTGCCTGTGGCTCTAGCCCCAAATTCTGGCCTGAAACATGGCCCATTGTAAAGCCACCACCATGGTGTGTTCTTTTTCTACAGAATGATGGCAACAGCCAACTCAAGCCTCCTGCATGAACCTGGCTACATCCATGTGATTCTCTCAGCAAGTATTTCTCCCCAGCAACCCCAAGTTCACATAGAAAACTTGAACAAGGGATGAGAAACTGCAGTAATTTGGAAAAACAGAACTGGTACTAAACAACCAGTYCACTGATGGAGAGTGAAACCTTGTCCCTACCAGACAAGGCAAGTGAACAGGTGGTGAAAATATGCAGTATCCTTGCAGTACATTGCTTTGGCCTCTCTTCTGACATGTGGTCATACTCAATGTTTAGCAGCACGCACATCAGCTCTCCCTCAGAGGTTTCACCTTGGTGCCCACACCACAATCTAGCCACAAAGTTTCCAAAACCTGCACAATCACCTCTCTACTTGTGTCTCACTAACTCCACTTAGGTGCAAAACATCTTAAGCGCAACCACTTTGGATATTTCTTTGTGGAACATGCTCTGAAAGCGCATGAACAGTATCATGCCACCTGTCTTRTTCCAAAATGCTCAGGCTTAACCACAAATTGCAGGGAGGGTTGAACTCYTTGTCACAAAGTGTCATGAAGTGTCTGACTGTGATGCTTTCCACACTCTAACAGCAAGGTCCAAACACACAGCTAGTGAAAATCCCAGATTTGCCATCCCATCACAGATGCAGCTGAGCGCGGGGTGGTAGCTTTGCCATGGGTATGTGTTCTCACTTGGTTTCCATTATGCCAGTATGGTCTGGGATTTTGACTTTGCCAGGTCCTTARCCTGGAACACATTAAAAACAGCCCTGCTGTTCCTGGGACAAAGAGGCAAAATTTTTCCTCACCTGAAAGAAGAGAGGAATTCTGACGGTGGAACCAAAACTATCAATGTCCTGCACATGAATGTCCACACATTTAATGTTCACTTTCCCTTATTTGGTTGAAGTGGAAGAAGCAGCTCAGGTCACAGGAATAATGAAGAGCAGGGTGTCCCAGTAATCTATCCCTGAGGGATCTCAATGGTGTGGTTTGTAACATGGCCACTGAGTGGGAACGAAGCTTAAAGAACTGGATTTTTTTCCGTGGGTGGAATTTGCTCTTGAGAGATCCATGTGGATGAGATTTTGGTTGGTGTAATTCTCTAGCACCTGTTGGTACTAAMAAACTCCATTCTCAAGAGGCCAAGGCAGAGTGCCCTTGTGCAGGGTGCACTCTGGTCTCACAGTTCATGAGCATTTTGCACAGCTGAAGGCTGCACAACTTAGTGTCTACAGGACCTGAGCTGAGAAATTTAGACAGAAAATATGCCCTCTCTAAACTTTGTCCCAGAGACAAAAAAAAAGAAAAAAGTTCAAGTGTCAGTTTTTGTATGGGTAATACTCTGTAGATATTATGCATTTTTTATTGCATTATGAAGCCCAAAGGTTTAATCAACGCATGGCATTTTCCATGTTACTTACCTTTGTCCCTCCTCCAGCATGACTGAATCAAAAAACAATGCTTCACAAACACGAGAAGCACCAACCGTTCTGCTCCAGCGACAGGCACCACTTGACTTACAGATGGAGGAGATCTGCAGTCTAAAATCCACCTGGGTGAGTCAGAATTTCATGTTCTCCATAGTTCCCTCCCCATGGGAACTGGCACTCAAAAGAGACACYAATGCTTAGAATGGGACATTCTCCTGCTCCCAAAGTAGAGAGCTAAAATTTATGATCATGTCAGACTGAGGATACTCTGCAGGGCATCATGTTACCACTCCCACTTCACTCACAAATACTGGCAGCACAGTTTAATCTGTGTGGTGTGGAAAGGAGAAGGGACAAGAGCCAGCACATGCCCTTTAGGTATCCATTTCACTCTGCTTTGGGCTCTGCCAAGGAAAGTGCTTACTTGGAAAAGGATTTTCCCCACCAGCGGGGAGAGCAAAAGCAGCTCTTCAGCACRCCAGCCCTCCTCAGCACACACCTTTTTCATTCCCCATCCTCTGCAAGTGCGAAGCAAAGCACGATCTGACTTTGCCCTCTGGAGGCAYGGAATTGGCATGGCACAGAGAGACACAGCCAGAGGTGAGTGAACTATGGCACTCCCCTTTGAAACATCTGATAGGAAAATCAATCCCCAGCTGCAGCTTCCCACGAGTCAGAAGGCAGAGCATTACTGGTGAGGCAGCTTCGTACTGAAGGAGCTGGGTTTTTGATTCCTACAGTGTAATACTACCCTGTAATACTACCCTAATACACAGCCTGCTGTGCACTTCAAGAGCCTGGGTGCTGTTGCAGGAGGTTGATTTCTCTCTTGACATAAACTCCGCAGCATGTGATTTGAAATACTGCCACATGTCTGCATCCAGCTACTGGACACAGTACCCGCACACGTGAGTCCTGAGCCAAGTGTCATTTCATGATTTATTCCAATAACTCCATAGGTTCTTGCTATCTCCCAGTTTGCCAGGAAGCTGSACAAATTACCAGGTGTTCAGTGACTCCTGAGTCCCTCATTTAGCTAGAAACCAGGGCTGGGGTTTGTTTGGTGCATGCAAATGGATCCTCACACTGACAGACACACGCACACGCTAATTTCTCCAAGCAGATAAACCSCTCTATTGGACACCTCCAAGGGAGCTGTGTTTCACTAGGATAAACAGCTCCTACCTCCCTTAAAAATAATTTGTGCATTGCCCAAGAGGATAGCTTTTCCTACAAAGATAGACTCAGCAGTTCACTGAGACCAAGACACACACCAAGACACGGGCAGGATCAGTTGTACAGCCATGCACAGCACCTGCACACCTGCACACATCCACCTCTGCACACACATCTGCACACATGTGTTTCTGCCCACATGCGAGCCTCAGGTCCAGCCACACACCTGTGTGTGCTGGCATTTGTCTGTACACACACTCGCCTGTCGTGCACACCCACAAACTCTCACTCACACCCTCACCCCCACACCAGTGCCCTTGCACACCCGTGTAGCCGTGCACACTCACCCTTCCATGCACACACATGCCTTTGCACACCTGCACACACTTTTCATCCCACCTCTWAGACCACCTGCCATTTCCTTTCTATTCTGCCTTTCAGGGAACATCATGCCAGCAGGTGAAGAGGCTGTGCTGTCCTCAGGCTTGTGGGTGTGTTGTCACAGGGGTTCAAGTGCTGGCCAAGCATTCCTCACCAGCTGGCGCACTCAGCTGGGGTCTTGCCTCAGCCCCAAGCATCTGACAAACACGAGGGAGCTGGCAGGTATGCCCCAGCATCAGCCTGTGGAGAGCCTGGCATCCCTCCTGGCTGGATCATGTACCTGTGGAGTCCTGTGGCATAAGGATCAGGGATGAGCAGGTTAGCTCAGGGGTAAACAGTGCGCAAGGGAGCTCAGCCCTGGGCCAAATTGTTGCTAGGGCCCAGCAATGAGGGCCCCAGCCCCAGAGCGTTCTACATAGCAGCTCTGCAAACAAACCGCGTAGCCTAAGCCCACACTTACTATCACTCCCCACGCCGATCTGTCACCGGGTGATTTTTTCCAGCTTAATTTGTTTCGACAGCTTGATTTCCGCGAAGGAGAGTGGGGCTCCCTGGGCGACGTTGCCCGCGGCCGACCGTCCCTCGCGGACCGGCACATCCCCTCCGGCAGCGGCGGCCACCCATCGCTGCCACCTGTCCCCGCGGCGGCCAGCAGAACGGCCCCGACGGCGCCGARCCCTGCGGGAAGGGGCGGTAAATGCCCTGCCCTGACACCCGCACCGGGATCCCGGAGACACCGCCGCTCCGGTCGGTGCCCGTCGATCCTCTGGAGCTGTGCGCTCCCGACGGCGGCGGGTCCGCGGCGCCCCGAMGGTGCTGGGGACGGGCACCGAAGGAGAAGGGCGGGCGGGGGGATGCCGGGCAGGGCGCTGCCCCTACCCGCGTCGGCAGCGGCGGCACGCCCGGCCCTGCCCGCGCCTCCCGGGCTGCGGGGCGTAGCAGGGGGAGTGCCGGCCGCCCGAGCGCGGAGCCGCCGGACACCGCCGCATAAAAGCCGCGGCCGCGGAGCGCTGCGCTTCGTCGGCTCGGCTCGGCTCCGACGGGCACATGACAGCCGAGAGCCGGCTGCCGCCAGGCCCCCCGCCGCCGCCCCCGCCCCTCAAGGGGGACGCGGTGCCGCCGGGAGAGGAGGCGGCGGCGGCGGTGGCGGGGGCGCGGGGAGGGCGACGGCGCCGCAAGCGTCCGGCGGAGCGGGGCAAGCCGCCCTACAGCTACATCGCCCTCATCGCCATGGCCATCGGGCAGGCGCCCGAGCGGCGACTGACGCTCGGCGGCATCTACCGCTTCATCACCGAGCGCTTCCCCTTCTACCGCGACAGCCCCCGCAAGTGGCAGAACAGCATCCGCCACAACCTTACCCTCAATGACTGCTTTGTCAAGGTGCCGCGGGAGCCCGGCCGCCCCGGCAAGGGCAACTACTGGACGCTGGACCCTCACGCCCGCGACATGTTCGAGAGCGGGTCCTTCCTCCGCCGCAGAAAGCGTTTCAAGCGCAGCGACCTCTCCACCTACCCGGCTTTCCTCGCCGAGCGCCCCGCCGCTCCCTGCCGCCTCCTGCCGCTGCCCGCCCCGCCGGCCCCCCCAGACCTGCCCCCGGCGCCCGCCGCCTCCTGCGCCTTCGCTGCCGCCTTCCCCGCGCAGGGCTGCTCCTCCGCCGCCCTGCCGCACGCCTACGCCCCGCTGCCCGCCGCCCCCGGGCCCTTCCCGCCGGGAGGCCACGGGCCGCTGTACGCGCCGTCGGGGCGCATCGTGCTGCCCGCCTCGCCGCCCGGCCCCGCTGCGCTCTACGGCCGCCGCTCCCCCGCGCCCTTCCCGCCGCTCCCGCACGCCTACGGCCCCGGAGGACAGCTGGGCCCCGCAGAGCCCGCACCGCGGCAYGGCACCTACCCTGGAGGCCCCGACAGGTTCGTCCCAGCGCTCTGACCCATCCCGGAGATCCCGGACAGCGCGAACCAGASCCCGGGACAGGGGGGACTGCCGGGTCACCCGGGAAGATGCTGGAGAACCTTGGGCTGCACCTGCACATTCTGTCATCTGCCTGGGCTTCCTGCTGRGGAGTGTCGCAGTCAGCCCTGGGGGCCCGGGCACCCCCTGTCTGCTCTCAGCAAAAAGTCTTAGGGACTTCCAAGTGCCTGGATGGGGCAGTCTATTCTTCTTCTACAGCCTTTTCTGGAGCAGGTGCTCAAAGCTTTCTGCGAGGCTACCACCCTCTGGCACACCCAGMTTGGCCCCTTATGGTCTACCCAGGAAGATTTCACTTTTAGAAGTCTCTCTGCTCTTGGTAATTTTTTTTTAGAGAATGAAATACCTGTTGGTGAGGTGAAGAAGTGAGGCAGGAGGAAATGTTCCCTGGCCTTGTGCAGGGAGAGCTGTGAAAGCAGAATGCGTGGCACTAGTGTGGTGCCATGTCTCTGATGGCTATTGCTATATAGCCCTGKGCTTAACACCAGAAATGTGGCCAGGGCTGGAGAAGGTTTGGCTGCCAGGGCTGCAGGAAAATGCATCAAGTCAGATCCTTTCTGTGCTGCAGGGGTGGGAACCGTGTTGAAACTGGAAATATAAAAACTGCCAGCATGAGCATGCCCAGCATGTCCCATGGAAGAGGGATGCAGGGAAGCTGTGGGACCTCTGCCCTTGGAGGTCTTTCCAGCTTTAGTGGATAGAGCCTGATCTGCCTCTGAAGTTGTATCCAATGTCRAATTTGGACCTGTTTTGAGTGGAGACCTCAAAATCCTCAGGTCTGTGGAGGTCCTTACAGCCTAATTTACCTTGATCCTAAGGTCAGCCCAGCTCTCTCTGTAACCTAGAGAAATTGGCATATATAGGGGAAAACTTCCTTTTCTGGAACACAAGAGGCAGGACATGGTGCCTTTTCATCTTCAATTGCTCCACTTTGAAGCTTTCCTCAGCTGAAAAAGGGACTAATAGAAGAGGAAACAACTAAAAGGAATGTCTGTGAGTGGCAAAGGATTGAAACTAGATCCACAGGGGAATTCAAGCATATCCCTCCCGACAGATCACCCCACCCTGGAAGAGGCCTGGAGCAGTAGTGGATGCCCAGGGCTCTGCTTGGGGCTGTAGGTGTAGAGGGGGCTGACATAGCCCTGCTCCCAGGTCTCCTTGTACAGCTCCTTTTCCCCATGGAACTGGAGAAGCCCCATATCCAGGGCCAAGAGGAGGCTGGTGAGAAAATCCTGCAGTTTGGTGGGGCCTCGTATGGGGAGAGGGAGGGAGAAAGTGCAGCCAGAGTCCCAACAGGAGCTTTGGAAGAGCAAACCGCRCATGTACGCTCGGGTTCTCTCAGCAGAGAAGGGTACAGATCATAGTATAACTCAGACTGGAAGAGATCTTGGGAAGTTTCTGTTCCAATCTGGTACCCAAATCAGGGTCAGCTATGACTCAGAGCAGTAAGCTCAGTCCTGTGTAGTTGAATCTTCCTCACCTCCACTAACTGAGACAGCACAGTCTCTTTTGGCAACCTGGCGGGGGTCAAGTTTCTCCTTGTACCCTCCATTCAGCACTTACCCAGTCACATTTAATGTCTACTGTCTCTTGTCCCACGGCTGCGCTTTGCTGCCGAGAGCTTTTGATCCTGTGGAGACACCTGTGCCTTCTGCTCCACAGAGCGTTTTTCAGATGTGGTCCTCAGCAGGACGAAATTTGTGTAGAGGCAGCTTCCTTGTTTCTCTGGATGCAGGTGGGACATGAGAGAGGAAATGGAGTGGAACAGAAAGGTGGCTGGCTGTCACAGCACAGATTGGTATGGAGAAGAGTAAAGCTCTCTGTAGGGCAGTAGGTGGGCAGGAGGAGTTGTATGTCTGCCTTCCCTGACTCTGTGAGTCAGGAGATGAGTTTTGGATTCAAGGCTTCAGGGTGCTGAGGATGGCATATTGTGGGTGAGCCACCTCCTGGGCTAGGAGGCTGGGGCTGGCTTGGTGGCACTGCCCGTGTCCCTGGGGACCTGTCTGTGGCTCCGCAGGAAGCTGCTGTCCGYAGAGGAGCTGGAGAGGCTGCACTGTCACCAGCGGGGGGCGGACGCAGACAGCAAGTGTAAGCACCACTCAAATCTTTGCTGTGCYGAGGTCAGTCCGACTTTTCCTTTCCTATCCCTTCTGAAGAGCTGTTGTATCTTCCTTGTTCCTTGTTCTTCCCTGTYCTGGCATGGGAAGCTGCTACCATCCTGGAGAGAGCAGAGTCCTGTCTGCAGCCTGGCTGTCTCAGCCGGGGCAGATCTCCTCAGCAGCTGTGCTGACACCTTTCCCRGCTCCTTCTTCACCATCTGGAAGAGGAACTGTACCCCTTGCTGTGCCAGCTCTGGTATTTTTGATAGCTGCTGGCTCTGCTTTYGTTGCCTGCAAGGACTGGACGGTGTCACTTTGACAGTAAGTCRTGCCAACCTCTTGCTCATTTGGGGGGTAGCTGGCAGAAGAGCTGTCSTGCCTTTTAGTGCCTTCTTTCCTTCCTGTAGAAGCAGTTACCAATGTGGACCAGATAATTTTCATAGAATGATGGAATATGCTGAGGTGGGAACGGATTTATCAGGATCATCAAATCCAACTCCTGTCCCAGCACAGGACACCCCAAGAATCACACCRTGTGCCTGAGAGTAAYGTCCAAGTGCTCCTTGAACTCTGTCAGGCTTGGTGCTTGCTCCCTGGGRAGCCTGTTCCAGTGCTGAGCCACCGTCTASGATGATATMCAACCTAAACCTCCCTTCATGCTGTTTACACAAGTCGTGTCACTGATCTCAAGAGTGAAGAGCCTTGATGCCTTCTGGCCCTTGTTCCTCTGGTTTTGTTCTCTGCTCCAGTCCCTGYGCTGGTCTAGGGTTCAGTGTGAAAAAAGGGTCACCAGTGATGATACAGATTTTAGGGAGGATGCTTCTGCACTCAAATAGCATCAGTAGGTAGTTCAGCGAGCAAAACTCAGTGTCTGGAGGACATGCCTGACAGATCTTGGTGACTCAGAATGAGCAGATTGGGTAGGTTCAGTTGTGTGTTGTTTGCAGAGAGAGTCTAGATGCTTGTTCTTGTTTCTCTCCAGATCTTTTATACCTACAAACTAGGGAAACTGGGCATGTATAGATGGTACACTGTTTGCAGCAGGTACAGTGATGAGCTTGCTGCATCAAGAACCTGAGACATGGTAAAAAAAAAAAGCTTAAACATCTGTCACAAACAGCTGGAAACCCCAGGCAGAACTGTGAAGAGCTACTGGAACCATTCAAGGGACTCTAGATCTGCATGGTGCCCGTGCTGTGAGGTTTTTGAGACAAAACCAGACGAAGCTGTACCTACCCTTTGCAAATGCTGGCAGTGCTCCAGCCTCCCGCTTRCAGCAGGCCTGAAGACTCCAGTGATCCCTTCCCCCAGCGCTGCTGTGGTTTTGTGGCTGTTCCAACCTCTCTGAGCTGTCTTGTAGGCTCAGACACCCAGCGTGTGCTGAACGTTGCGGATCTGTCCTGGCTGTACCTTGTGGAGGTCAGATGTGCTGCCCCTGTGCCTGTGGCACTGCCTGACCACTGACAGATGTGTCCCTGGGGAGATGTGGGGCTGGGTCTCTCTGTGAGGATATGGGGATATGCCAAGGGGATATGTTAGACAATTGGATCTCAATGAATGCTTGTGCCATGGGGATATGTTAAACATTTGGATCTCAATGTGTTTTTGTCTGGCACTTGTAACTCTCAGGCACCGCCAAGAATAAGAAAAAAAAAATTGATTTCTGTAAATTTTATTGTAAATATCTGAGAGCCGTTCTTTTAGCAAAGTTAGTCTAAGTTTCAAACTAATCTTTAGATTTCTGTGAGAAGAGTCCAATAAATTTGGATTGTAAACCTGCAGGAAACTCTTAAGTGTGAGCACTGATGAGAAAAGAGAGGGGCCTTGAGAGTGTTCATTCCTCAAAGGATGGAGCCTCTTGGTTCCTGTTCTGCCCAAGTTCTGATGTAGTCAGGTCTTGAGCAGACTTTAAGAAAGAGGTGGACTGTACAGCCTAGGAGGGTATTATATTCTGTATTGGAGAATTTTTTGTATTTACTCTTGAAATAAATATTTGTCTTGTTTGTAATGAAGTGTCTCTGAGTTTACACTTTCAAGCCTTCCCTGTATGCCTGAGATGGGGAGAGACAGAGCAAGACATGTGACATGTGCCACTCATTGCTTTTCATCCTGTCTCTCTTACCTTGGCTCTTTTTGGTCTGCTGGGTTGCTGAAGACAGAGGGAGGGAGAAGGGATTGATCAGCAAGGTCATGCCAGAGGTGGCATATCAAACTCCTGCAATCCCCAGAGTCACCAGCCYGCTTTGCAGCTCTCCTGCCAGGCCATAAGCATGCCCCAGATATCAAAGCATGAACCTTCATCCCAGCCTCTGCTAGAGAAAGGGACAAGTGGGGAAGGCTGCTACCTGTGACAGGAACAGAAATTCAGAGAKGGGCAGGGGGATTGTGTTTGGCATTGATTTCTCTCTGATTGCTCCGACATGGAGCAGGGCCAGCTGGAGGAGGTGTTACTGCTGGAAACATTACATTGCCTGTCCTGTGGCAGCAGCACCAGAAATGCTTGGTCTTGCCTTCTGCACCTCAGGCCAGTTATTTTATTTGGCTGCAGAGATGGAATTCCTGCAGCTGCAGGCTGGCACTGTGTTCACCTCATGCAACAGCAGCATCTGTAGGAACAATTCATCAAGCAACAACCATAGCTAATGGGGGGTGTAACAAACCTTCAGGGGCAGCTCCGCACCTCAGGGTGATGATCTGGCTTGCACCTCGGTAAGATGATGGCAGATGTTGCTCCTTCTCCTGCTGAGAGGGAGGTGACTCCCTTCCCAAGGGTGTTGAAGGATGGTGATTCCTGCAGCTGCTGCCCTGTCAATGGCCCAAGGTGTCTGGAGGGCTGGAAATGAGATGGGAGCAGGTAGTTTAATCTCCCAAGTTCTCAAAGACCAGATAGCAAAGTCTTCTTTGGGACTCCCAGGCATGATTTTTCTGCCTTTGAAAGTGACAAGAAGTGGATCAAATCTATGAGAAAGGGTAGGCAGGGAAGGCAGCCACCATTYGGCCAGGAGGGAGTACCTTGGAGGAAGTCCAAAGTTTTGTGAGATGTACTTGGTTGTCAGTCTGTAGCTGGAGCTGGGCTTTAGCTGTATTCATTACCTGGAGCTGCCAGTGTCTGTGATCAGAGTGTCATCCCGCTCGAGAAGCACCTGGATGTGAGCTAATGTGAGCTCAGGAAGGCTGATGGGGGTCTGACATTACAGTGTGTGGTGTGTGAGAGTACAGTGGCCCATGCTGGCACAGTCTGTGTCTTCTCCATGCCCAAGGTCAAGATGGGAGATGGTGGCATCCACTGTCCTTCACAGTGSTAGGAATCTGGTGTTATTTCTGGGAGTTATTTTTGGAGGTGGTGCAGTCATCCAACCCCTCTTTGTATGGGCAGACTTAGGGGGAGGGAGGCTCAGCTTAGGGCTGCCAGACTGAACTCTGCAGCATTTGAGCACAGGATGCAGCTGGTGGTCCCTTGGCTATATAGGAACCAATAATGTAGAGAATGTGAAGCACCCTGGCCACACTGTTTGGGCTAGGAGGAAAAGAGGCTGTATTCTAACCTCTTCTGATGACAGGAAGTCCACAGGGTCATTGTATGCTCCGGGCCGGATGTCTGGCTGAAAATGGCCATGGCAGAAGCAGGAATAATAACAGTGGGGCTGGCTCAGAGGAGCTTACTGAGCTCACTGCTGTCCCTTCTCTGAAGCCAGGAAGCTCGGATTCACTAGCCATTTCAGAATTTGTAAAGCTGTTGTCTGGATGTGAACTATACAAAGAGATTCTAATTGACTGAGGAGCAGCTTCTGACCTTTTTTGTTCAGTGCCAGCACCAGAGCTCTTGGTCTGATCATTGTGACCCGGACTGCTCAGTGCCTGAACCACTCTGAGTCAATCATCCTTGAGGGTGGCTCTTGCAAGCAGACATCTGCATCTCATGTTGACCTCTTCCACTTGGGAAAACGTACTCATGAATCCAGGCTGCCATCTTCTGAGCTTAACAAATTATGTCCTAGGCCTCATATCACTTCTACAGCCGTATATTTTAGCACATAGTCTGTCATCAKGTTAGTGCTTACTGGAGTCTGGCCCTAGAATTGGCCAATTAAACATTGGCTCCCTAGCCATCCTTCCTGTGTCCCAGGCTTATGGCTGCAAGTGGAGGGGAGAGGAAGTGAATCAGCACTGTGATGTCTTCAACAGGGAGATGATGATGTTCTCAGAGAAAGTTTCCTTCTCGTCATCAGAGGGCATATGGTACTGATGGTGATGATTTCTTCCTTCTCCATTGCTGGGTACGCTTGGGTTTATTTCTGTATGTGTATTGTTTATCTGTGATTCCCAAATTGTTTTGATGTTTTTGTTTATTTTTTAATTGTAGTTTTTGTTTGTTTTGTTTTTTTCTTCTCCCTGTTTTCTCTAAAATTGTCTTTCCTTGAATAACATGGGCTTGCTGGCAAGTGACTGACCACTGCAACAGGCTTGGACCCTAGAGTTACAGAGAGTTCAAGCCTAGAATAAATGCCTAAGTGAGAAGGTGTGAGAGGTGCCATGGTGATAGAGGCTGCTCCTGGGTATTATTGTTGGTATTGGTGGTTATTTCATGGAGGAAGCAGAGAATGGTTCAGGGTTTCAAYAACCTTTATGCAGGAAATATTTGCCTAAAAAAAAAAAAAAAAGGTTTCCTTCTTGGGCCATTTATTTTGTACATTGTTTTCATGGAGATTTTTCTCCACCGCTTCCCTTCTAGAGAAAAGGCAAAAGAAAATCCCTCTTGAAAAAAACTGGGAAAAATAGTTTCATGCCTTCCTACTGAAGTGGATGGCACAACAGGAGATAAACTTAAATCCAGGAAGACCTTATGCATTTGGGGAGACCTCATAGAACCTTCCACTATCTAAAGGAGGCCTACGGAAAAGCCGCAGAGCCACGTGCTAGGACAAAGGGCAAGGACTTCAAAGTGAACGTAGATTTTAGATCAGGTATTTGGAAGAAATTCCTGKGAGGGTGGCAAGGCACGGGCACAGGCTGYCCAGAGARGCTATGGATGCCCCATCCTTGGAATTGTTCAAAGYCAGGCTGGGTGGGGCTCTGAGCAACCCCTTCTAGGGAGAAAGAGATGTTCTTTAAGGTCCTTTACAATCCCAACTATTCGGTGCTGCCGCTAGGGAGCACTGCCGGCCGCGCCGGGCGGGACGGAGCGGGGAGCGGGAAACGGGGAACGGGGAACCGGGAGCGGGGAGAGGGGAACGGGGAACGGGGAGGGACGGAGCGGGGAGCGGGAAACGGGGAACGGGGAATGGGGAGCGAGGAGCAGGGAGCGGGGGAGGGACGGAGAGGGGAGAGCGGGGAGAGGGGAATGGGGAGCGGGGAGCGGGCAGCACCACCGAAAAAGCCAGTGGGCCGGTTTGGGCCCCTTTGAACGCGAGCTCGTCCTCCACAGAGCGCGGTGCTGAGCTCCGAAGGCACACACTGAAATTGCGCCTCCAGCCCGCGGTCCGAGTATGGACAAACAAGCAGCTGTGTCCAGGGGCATGTGGTTAACACTGCACCCAAGCTCAGTTTTAGTGCTTTTGTGAGTTCCCAGGGAGATGCTCTGTAGAGGAGATCATTGAACAAAAAGGGTCTTATTAAGGCTGCAAAGCTCAGATCACATTATTTACCAAAAAAGTGATCCTGCTTTCTTTGTGTTTTCTGTGTCCTGCCAGTGAAAACCTCTGGTTGTCTGAGGGAATCACAGGCACAGTTCATGCCCAACACCCCAAGCCATCTGGATGGACTGAATTTCAGCCAGTGGGCTTAGACAAGTGGCCATTCCCCCTGCCTTGTGAAAGCCCACAGCTGGAATACTGGATCCAGTTAGGGTAGTCCTGTGCAAGAAAGGCATTCTTGCCTTRTGGTGGAGCTCTGCTGAGGCTGTCAAGGCAGGAAGCTTAGGACAGGCTGAAGGAATCAGCATTGTCCTCATGGACAGTAGGCGAGCATGGAACCTAACTTGCAGTCTGAAAGAAAGTTACAGAGCAGATGGAGCTGGGRTCTTCTCTGAAGTGCACCAAGATGGAGAAAGAGGCAAGGACCCAAAGCTGTGCTGAGAAAAGTCCTGGTGGGACAAAAGGGAAAATACTCTTTCCTTGAAAGTTGGGCAGCCCTGGGATGGGGACAAGAGAGGGACAATCCCATGTCTTGGAGAAGGTCAACACTTGGTTGGAGAAAGCCCAAAGCACACTGGTCTCAGCTAGCCACACTCTGAGCAGRGGTTGGATTCAAGATTTCCAGAAATCTCCCCTCACTTAACTTTTTCCACAGTTTTTTTCCAGTGAAACAGGAAAGTCAGGCCAGGTGATGGAGCATTAATGAGCCCAGCTGGACACGCAACTCCAGTCTGTGCAAACCCTGGCAACATTAGAGAGGTATTTATTTAAATGGTGAACACAGGATGGAAGGCAGCAGAGCTAACAAGCTTTGAGCAGGAAGTGGTAGCCAGAGAGGGAGTGGGTATTTGCCATCTCCAGGATTTACTGCTTAAAGTCAATATTAGTAAATTAATCAGCAAATTTTCCTTATCTCTGTAAGACCAGGCACTTATGGGGTGGAATGKCTTTCATTGGCCTGTGGTGGCCTCTGGCTCTAAGTTGCTTGCCTACTTCTTTGTGCTGAGGCTCAGCTACRACTTCAGTTCTGCCAAGGAACCGGAAGACCCTTCTGGTTCAAAACATTACCTGTGAGCAACAGCCTGCCACAAATCACCCCTGACTTCAGGTAATGTGGGGGATCCTGTATCATAAGAGGAATTTGAGAAGTGGGAAGCCAGGGTGACAAACCAAACAACTTTGCTTCTCCCACAGAGCTGGAAGCATGTTTCCTGAAAGGATATTGAAAGGTAATTGGCATGGACAGAGGAAGGTCTGGCTCTCCTGGGTATGATGTTAGGTTTCCTCTCCTTAGCTGTGATGTTATGGCTGTCAGCACTCAGAATGGCTCCCCATGCTCTGCAGGATGGGGAGACAGGAGCTGAGGCCCTGAGAAAAGCTCACAGGAGTATGGCCAGTGCAGCCCAATTAACATTAACCAATATCCCACTGAATCCCACTCATAAGGAGACAACCACAGTGGTCATGTCCACTGTGTACCACAGCATGGCTTGGTCTGTGTGCTTCAGGGAGCAAGACAGAGGATCCTGGAGGAGCCTCAGGCAGCTCTGCCACCATACAGCATGGCAAGGATCACTGTCAGGCACTTACCTGGCTCTCTGTGCTGGCCCCATAGCTCAGAAGCCATTTCCCTGCTCCTGTATCCTTCTCTCTGCCATCAAGGATGCTGCATGTCAGACYGAGACCATAGCTGGCATCCCAGAGGGTGGAAATTTACTTTACTGGACTCACTGTCAATGTGTCTTGGAGTCAGGAAAGAGGGAGGAGATGGAGAAGATGATTTGTTGCACCTGCAAARCAGAGCCCCGCTATCCTAGATACAGCTGCCCTTGCCAGCCTGTCCCCAGCTCCATTCAGGCAGGAAAATTTCCCTCAGGAACACACACGGAGTACCAGGARTCCAGCTTCACACCTGAACCCCATCTGTGTAAGCAAGAGCTCTCTTGTTTGTCCTCTCATCAGAGAAAGAAGCCGTGCATGGCGAGATAAAGTGTAGATTAGGAGGGCTTTATCTCTCCCTTATTTAGTTTGCGATAAGATTTGTCGTGCGCAGCCACGCCTTTCTTACTGTCTGCCAAAGAAGACAGAATGAGAGCAGCTCAAAGAGAGAGTGTGCCGTGCCTGGGATCACTCCAGGACTTCCCAACCACCAAAGGGATCACCACAGCCATGGATAGAGGAGCTTGCTCCGGCTCCTGCACACCTCTGCCCACAGGGAGCTCCCCCAGCCCTTTCGGGACAAGGATTAGCACTGCTGTCCCTCATGTGACATCCCCGGGACATTGGGGGTGTCCATCCTGTCACTGGAGAGACTGTTAGTGGTGTCACTGGTGAGATGTCACACATKCTGTGACACAGAGCCTGGAGACAGCAGCAGCAACATGTCCAGAGCCATGGAAAAATTCCCCAAATCAAGGGTGACCTTGGGGCCTGGGCAGCTTTGTGCCCTCGGAGACAGGCCCTTGGCAAGTCAGATAATGGCAATAGGAGCTGCACTCCTCCTCAGGAGGAGGATCCTCTGTGTCAGGATATTGCAGGAATGTAAGCCACTTCCCTTGCCATGCACAACTCCCAAAACATGGGGGGAGAGACRGGGTGCCCCATTATCTCCTAACTTCAGGACAAATCCTGTGAGAAGACTGGGGAACCAGGAACACAAGGGCTGTGCACAGTGTCTCCTGTCTTTGCCCAAAATGGCATTTTCCTGACAARAGTGTATGATTCAGCCAAGTTTCAACCCAGTGCACTTAGCTGTTTTCAAGCATCTTTTGTTTGTCTTACACTGTGGCTCAGCAAGGTCAGAGTGAAGCTGCCCAGAAATTGAAAACAGAAAATATTTTCAACTTTAAGAAAGCCAGCTGTTTATTGCRAAGGAAAACAGGCCATGAGAAAAGCTTTCAGATTAATAATAATAGTGCAAAGGGTGCTAGGGTTTATGATGTGCAGTAGAAAACTCAGGCTGCTCCAGCCGGTTAAAAATCACGGTGGATGTTAGCTTTGCAATGCCACTCGTATTTATACAAGAAAATAATGCCTTTCAGAAACACAGATGGATGCTGTTCAACCTGTAGTGTGGCAGAGCACCGTGAGGCCTTCCATGGCCCAAGTAAAACAACCTGTTTGCTGCTGAGAGGGAGCAGGGGGCTCATAAGCCACGGGCAGYTCCCTAGGGGCTGCCTCTCTGACCTGAGACAAGCACAGAAAGCAGAGTGACAAGGACAGTACAGGCTTTATGACTCCCAGGAAAGCTTAAAATCTAAATCATTGTGCAATACTTAGTTTAGTGAGTTTGTGAGGCGGGAGTCTAARTAAAAAATATCCCCAAACAATCAGAATTCATGTGTTAAAACAGAACATTTGTGTTGAATTCATGATCCTGATGGTCATTTTCCAGAGGAGTGTTCAACTCTTCTAGTGCAGCTGCTTCTCCMGGGCTCAGCACATCCTCTGCACCTATAAGGCATGTAAGAGACAGATCATTTCCTGTTGGGAGGCTCCCATGTGTTACCCCTCATGGCCATGCTAACACCCTCATGTCCAGTCTCCTGCAATTGCCTGGAGAAGATTTGAGGTAGCTCTGAGTGTATCCTGCTTTTCAAGGGCAGTCCCAGTGGTTGGGGGCAGTTGGAGAAGGTAAAACCCTGGTGGGTTAAAGACAGAGGCAATAAACACAACCCATGGTTGCCCATTTCAACACCTCAGGGCTGGAAGCTGGACTGGGGTGATGTGCCYCAGCCAGCCCCAGAGGCAGGATGCAGGATAGCTGTTTTCCATGGCACCAGAGCACCCCATGCCTTACAGCAAGAGGCCTTTTTCCCCCACTGTACAGGCATTKCTGGAAGTGCAGCAGCTGGGGGTCAGAGCATTCTTACCTCCTCTGAAGCAGATCCTAAATTTTCCTGGTTTKGAAGCAACCTGCATGCTTGACCCACTGACTGCTAAAGTGAAGGTGCTCTACTCTTCCCATGCCAGATCTGGGAGCAGCTCCTGGCTGTGGTCGCTGTAAATGGATTTTCTGAGCCCGGACACCAGCCTGCCATTCAGACCAGCTTAGTGCTCTCCATGACTCAGTCCTGGCAGGTTTCAAAGGTGTAGTCGCCTGCAGACACCCACCTCTCGCCCCAGTGCCCACTCTTCTCTCCCATCATCCCAGTGTCAGTCCCGAAACTGGGTGGAYTGTGGACAGAGCATGTCCAAACTTTGGCTCTTCTGACCAGCTCTGATCTCAAAAAAAGGCATCTTCTCTCCACAGAGGAGAGATCCTCACAGAGATATTCCTCTGCACTAACACACCGCTTGGCAGAGCCACAGGAGTGTTCTTGGGACAAGGAGTTATTGAAGACCATGATCCACTCCCCCATCCCAAAAACTGTACTGACAACAGCAGATTTGTTATCATTCCCTGTGACTTGGAGAGGGCTGTGTGTCCCCACAGCTGTCTCCACAGCTGTCCCCACCATCCCCCCTCCCTTTCTCAGCTACCCAAGGTTTGTGGGGTAGGTACAGGCTCCCTGGAGATGCTGTGGGGTCATTGTTGRGAAGGTGGGCACCCTTGTCCAGCAGTCCCCGAGAGGAGCATGCACAGCCCCCCGAGCCAGCACGGGGCCAGCAGCTCTGCAGCAACTCACCAGCAGGGTCCAAGCTCCCAGCTGCCAGCTCCACTTCCCTCGCCGGTGCCTGCATCCCGCTGACCACATTCTGGATGGTCAGCACAGGTGGCTGCTCTGGATAGATGGGTTCAGGCAGCACCAGCTCAGAGGACTCTGGCTCAGCCATCTCCTCTGGGATGAGCTGGGGCTCCAGCTCTGGCTCTGACTCCAGGACAGCCTTCACCACCGTCTGACGGCGCCGTCCTCTYTTGCCTTTTCGGCCTCTCCTTTGCTGCTTGCTCTTGTAGTCCCTGCCAGGGGATTTCACAAGGGTGATGACTTGGCAATAGGGCAAAGGACTTTCCCTTCTGCCCTAAGGCTGATTTGCTGGGTTCCCTGTGGTGGTTGTGACCAAGTTCATCCCGGCAGAAGCTGCCATTCTGCAGCCCCCCTTCCTGAGCCCTGCACAACAACCTCCTGCAGCTGCACCAGTGATTGGGAGCTTGGACCACACACTTTTCCTCAGCCCCACACTATGGCTCAGGTTTGCTTGCCACCCCATCATGCCATCTTCTTTCCCCACTGAAGACTGGTGGCTCTGTCCTTGGGTGAATCTGGAGGGGCTGGGCTGAGCCTGGGCTCAGGTTAAGGGCACCACAAAAGCAGTTTCACAGAAAAAGCGAGATTTACCTTACAATCCACTGAGCTGCATCTTTCTCCAGGGCTTCTGCCTTTCTTTTTCTGAGCATCTCCCGGTCCCTCAAGCGKCGGGTTATGATAACATCTACAAGGATAAAGTGAGTGTTCACATGGCATTCTGGTCAAGGGACAATTTGATCCCTCCCCCCTGGTACAAGAGCACTGATGCAAGAGGCTGTGACCTTTTTGTCACCAAGTTATTGTCTGATGACACAGCATCCAACACCCCAGGCTCCTCTCCTGACAATCACTCTAAATTTCCATTTGCAATTCCTTGGGGTGACCCTTGTCCAGCCCACTCCCCTACTGTAGCAACCTGAGGCCTGGTGCCTTTGGTCAGACATCAGTTCAGACTGCAAGATAATTCTTCATGGTTGCTSTGTTGGCACCATTTTTCCCAGATCGCTGGAACTGGCCCCCACCGAAATTAAGATGTTTAKCTAACAAGCAAGGAGAAAGCCTTTYYCTGAGGATCAGACAGTCCTCCAACAYAGGAACAGCACCGTGGGGGCAAGGATGAGGCAGAGGCACTCACCCTACACAGAGGCTCACATTAGGCTAGGACCTTGTGGGGGATGATGATCCAGCCAGAGACCCCGACAGGGCCGGTACACACTGCTGTGGTTGAGAACATTGGTCCCAAACACCACACAGACAGCCCYAAGCTGGCCTGCAGCTGTGAGGAAGACCATGGCAGGGCTGAAGGAAGCTCCAGTGCTGGCTTTGTTATTTGGGCAGGATKTGCAGGCTGCCTAGAGCCCCCAGCAGAGAGGAGCACTCCCCAGATCCCAGTCACACTGTGACATGCCTTCCTTGGCCAAGTTAACAGTGCCCATTTCACTGCTTGCAAAGGGCTCCAAATGGCTTCCTGAGGCAAAGATCAGCCTGGCAAATGGCCTGAACTTCACTKCTCCATGTCTTTGTCTTATCCCTAAGGATATCTAGCTTAGACTCTAAGCTGTGATAATAAAAACTTGGCTCAAGTGAAGTAGCATGAGACAGTCCTATGAGACAAAGGGCATTGTTCAGGAGCAACGCCAATGCCCTGAGGCCTTGAGGGAGAGGGAATTCTTCCCAAATGTACACTGAAGAGATCACAAAAGAACTGATTTTCATAGTTTCAACAAAACCCACACAATGTAAAAGCAAAACTATGMCCTGCTCCTTCGAGATGTAATCAGACCCAGCTCTTTTCACAAAAAGCCTCAGCTCACACTTGAGTACCGAAATCAGTGAAAAATTATCATTTTATCATTCCCTTTATCAGATGGGAAAAGAGTCAAGGTAARAAAGACTTTTGAGGCTCAGTTGGGATTACAGCTCTTTTATCCCAGGTGTTTATTAAATGCACGAAACATTGTAGTCCAGGACAGGACAGTGTAAAACGGACAGTAGGAGCCAGTCTCTACCCAAAATAGACTTACACATTAATAATCATCTTACAGCAATTCAGCTTGGAAAGCATTTGTGCTAGTTTATGTTCCAATRCCCTTATCAAAGCAGAGCCAACTTTAAAATTACATCACACTGCCCAGGACCCCGTCCAAGGAACTCCGAGAGAAATGGGAGGTTGTTCCCTGTCTGAASCAGTAACAGAGACAGCAGAGCTCAGCCAGCAGGAGATGACTCTACTATCCACACAGAAAAAGCCATAAACTGTTTGGGAGGATGAGGTTACAAGTTGCAGKGGCAGGATCTGCACAGGGCTTCAGTTCAGCTACGGAAGTACATAATCCCTTGCACATCCCACTTGCAGCCAAGGCAACTTTCTTTTCCTTTCAAAATGTCTTGTGAGCTGTAAGAGCAATTTTAGCTGCTTGCAATCAGTCTCTTTCCCAGTCCATTCTAAGAAAAGACCCCTCATTCACCTCTAACTGGTCCAAGAAAGCACTCCCACAACAGCCCCGAAGTTGTCTGCCACCTGCTAGCACTAAGTAGGAAATATCACAGTAAAACATATGCATCCTGATGAAAAAATATTTACTAGAGGACACAAAGATACAGAAATTAAACAAAAAGTGGAAAAATGAAGTTATAAAAACAGTGAGACAGTACTGCTGGTCTGCAAACAGAATCTACTGATGCTCTCTCAAGGATTTTAGTTGAAAAGCCTTTACATGTGCTTCTGAGCCTCTGTGATCTGAAACATAACATGTAAAAAGACACATATATTCACAGTTAGGTGTTCATCCTTCAACCCAAATTCATTTTTTAGAAACATGGGTAACCAAAATCATTCTCTTCTTTCTCTCCAAAAACTCAGGTTAGGAWTGTTCTCATCATTACCTGGCACAGCATACGCCTCACGGGCTGCAGTGGATGTCAGGGAAGAGTCCGGAGAATCGTCGTCTTTGCCTAAATTCTCCATTGCTCTTTGCAGTTTTAATTAGAAAGCAGCTTAGATCCCTCGAAACAGCATCTGGAGATACTGGTGCAGTATAATGAGAGCTTGAAAAAAATGCAGACTGCCCGCCCCAAACCTCTTATCTGGCCAGGCCACTAGGAGGGTAATAATATTCTCCTTATCGGAGTGCAAAGGTGTGAGAGTCTCTGTCCAGGATCTACTGTGTGGATTGCAAAACATGTTAGTGCTTTTATACCACAAATAAGTCCACTTCAGATAGGAAATTTACACTCACAGCTGCTAAACTCTAACTCAAAAGCTTTCCTTTGTAGTGGACATAAGCTGCGTGGCTGGGCAGGATGTGGCACTGCCTCGCTGCTGCTTTCCAGAGTGAAAAGCAGGGACATGCTGTTTGCCCTTAAGGAGCCCTTGGGAGGTCTGGAATGGGACATTTGCTATGTGAAGGTGTTGGCACGGGATCCTGGCACTGCTGGTGGGAAGGAARGGACATCCTCCAGCTCCCCTCACAGCAGGACTGGCTGCTTTCACGAGGGCAGGATGGCWGTGTTGTCACATTCTTGGGAAAACACTAAAGACAGAGACCACCAAAGTCATGTCACCTGTCCAAAAGCTGCACCACCTTCCCAAAATACCGGCAGAATAATAAATCCATGCCAGCCTGTGTGGAGGACTTCCCAGTGATYCTTTGGTCCAGTCCCTGGTGGATCAGGACTATGAACAAAACAATTCAGTCATGGGCAGCATCAGTAAAGCCAGTGGGAAGACACAGCCATTCCCTTGTTCCCACAGGATGATTTCCTTTAGTGGCTGCTCCCAGCTCCCAGTGGCCCCTCTCACAGCCCTGCACAGGCTGCAGGACCATCAGCAGGGCCAGCACTGCTGCAAAGGGGAAGCTGCTGTTTGGTGCAAGGGATCCAATGCTGATGAGGGGACAGCTTGGCCTCCCCTGAGCTGCCCACAGTGTCTTATGCCAGGATAGCACAGAGAGCTCGAGCTCACATTGTGTGTAACAGCTCTGGTGGACCAGAGACCCCTCTTTAGCCAGTTTCTAGAGCACTCAGCTGCTATCAGCACTTTTCCCCATGAGACACTCAATTGCTTATGCACTGGTGAGGTGCTAGCGCCCCTAAACCCTTTCCTCCCTGCTCCCTGGAATCCAAAAGTGCTTCAGAGGTTGACAGAAGAACTTAACAACGTGTCTACCCCCAGGCCCTCTGAAACTTGCCCTCTGTGGCAGGGATGATCCCACCTCCCTTGGGCAGTCGGTGGACTTGTCCTGAGGCAAAGCAGGACAATTCCTGTCCTCAGGAATAAGCAGGTCTGGCCTGCCTCCAASCTTTGTCTCTCTTTTTTGTTTTTAATGTACGTCTTTTGCTCTCAGCAGGAATCTCTCTCTAGGTCCCTGGAAGCTCCAGAGTTTGAAACTTCATGTGTGTGGATTTCTTGAGATGTAACCTGAGGTCTGTGGTCATCTCTGATGTTATTCTTATCCTGTGAGTTACCACTCTGCTCTAGGGCTGCTGCCCTGTGTCCACTGCCGATTACGTGGTACCTCCAGAGAGGTGGGGTATGTCTGACAGCCCYAAAAGCAGCAGCAGGGTGGTGGCAGCAGAGCAGATATGGGAAGCTCTGATATGGGAGGGTGGGCCAGGAACATGGATGGCATAAGGAGATGTGGGGCTACCAAGTCATTCACAGCACATTTCCTTGTAGCTCAGTCACGAATGAAGGCAAGGTGTCCCAAACTGGTGAGCACTGTGGGACACTGCACAGCCTGAGAGACCCTGGTCATGCAGATATCTGAAAACTGTATCCTGGAGGATGTTTACTGTGTGGGATATTTACTGTGCAAAGGCATTGCTTGTGGAGGAGAGAAACATACCAGACCTTGAACGTTGTTTTTGTGTCCCTCATTACAAAAAACACATTGTCACAAGACCGCAGAATACACTGAGCTGGAAAGGACACAGCAAGGTCATTGAGTCCAACTCCTGTCCGTGCTCAGAACACCACCAAATCACACCATGTGCCTTAGACCATTGTCCAAATTCTGCTTGAACTCTGTCAGACTTGGTGCTGTGACCACTTTCTTGGGGAGCCTGTTCSAGTGCCCAACCACCCTCTGGGTGAAGAACCTTTTCCTGATATCCAACCTAAACCTCCTCTGACTCAGTTTCAGACCACTCCCTCGGGTCCTGTCACAAAAGCGAAGAGATCAGTTCCTGCCACTGCTCTTCCCCTCACCAGGAAGTTGTAACTGCAATGAAGTCTCTGCTCAGTCTCCTCCAGGCTGAACAGACCAAGTGACCTCAGCCCCTCCTCACAGGGCTTCACCTCAAGGGCCTTCACCATCTTCATCGCCCTCCTTTGGATGCTCTCCAACAGCTCAATGTCTGTTCTGTGTTGTGGCACCCAGAACTGCCCCCAGCACTGGAGCTGAGGCCGCCCCAGGTCAGAGCAGAGCGGGACAATCCCCTCCCTTGCCCGGCTGTGATGCTGTCCCTGATTCCCCCCAGGACACGGGTGGCCCTCCTGGCTGCCAGGGCACTGCTGGCCCATGTTCAACTTGCCACAGACCAGGACCCCCAGGTCCCTTTCCATGGAGCTGCTCTCCAGTCTCTGCTCCCTGGTCTGTTCACACACCCAGGGCTGTCCCATCACAGGTGGACAAATTGAGGTGCTTGGAGAGTGCCCAAAGAAGAGTGAAGAAGGTGGCAAAGGGTCTAGAAAACAAGTCCTGTGAGGAGTGACTGAGGGAGCTGAGGGTGTAGCTTGAAGAAAAGGAAGCTGAGGGGACACCTCACTGTCCTCTGCAGCTGCTTGACAGTAGACTGTAGACTGGTGGGATCTGTCTCTTCTCCCAAGTAACAAGCAATAGGACAAAAGGRAATGAGCTCACATTCCTCTGGGGTGGCTTTAGGCTGGATGTCAGACTGCCCAGGGCTGTGGTGGAGTGGCTGCTCCTGGAGGTGTTAAAAAGATGCGTGGACATGATGCTTAGGGATGTAGCTTCCTGCTGGACATGGCAGTACTGCAATAAGGGTKGGATTTATGGTCTTAAGGGCCTTTTTCAGCCTAAATGATTCTATATTCTATGTTCTGGGCTGCCTATAGGTAGGATGAAACATGGAAGAAAGGGTAGAAATCCCTGTGTGTTTCAGTGCTCCAGGGGAACCGGGTGCACACTCAGGCTGTGGCTAACAGCTTCTCACACCTACCATCTACTCAGTCACCCYMGAGCCTGCTGAGAGCTGATAAGTGGCTCTTGACTCAGCAAAACATTGCCAAGACACTGCAGAGCTGCTGCTGTGAATGTTTCCCCTTCTCGTCTGTCTTCTACCTTGAAGAGAGCATTTGTAAAAGAAAGTCACAGTGCCCGCAGATCCTTTAGAGGTGTTTAATGGAATAGCTGTATTTCAAAATCTTACAGAGCTGGCACTTGAGTCTCYTGGGAAGGAAAATCTCTGTAGGAGACTTGTCTCTTGAGTGTGAATTACTTTAAATGCCAAGGAAATGATTTTAATATCCCACAGGAAGGCTTTGGTAATATGTTAGCAATGTGGAAATTACAGATCCCATTGCCTGCTTTTGAGTTGTCTGTGCTCTGAGAGTCAGAGTGTGGCCCACAGTGCCAGGGACACTGTGTCCCACAGGCACCAGCAATGCAGAGAACTCTTCTCCTCCAGCAGAGCTCCCCTGCAGATGTGGCCAAAGCTGCACCTGCTTTGCTGCTGAGCAATTTCTGCGAGCAGGTTGAACATTCTGGGCTGCATGAACTGCTGTAGCTGGGCACTTTACAGTGTGCCAAGTGCTGCATTCCTCCCCTCTCTCTCCACATGTCAGCTCAGCTAGCCCTGGGCTGCTTTCAGGGATGCATCCAGTTTCCTGAGTGCTCAGCAGCCTCAGCATCTCCAGTGTCACAGGCTGCTCAAATGTCATCGGAACTGCTTGGTAAGGGAACACCCCGAGCCTCGGGTACATCTCACTGTGCCAGTCCCCACACAGCTTTCAACACCCAAATATTCCAGGAAAGTTTTGTCCAAGGGACAAGCACTTCTAGGGCTGGATCCTGCCGTTGATGGGACTGCTTTTACTGTAGACACAGCACCAGGCTTTGGGTGTATGTGTGGATCAAAGTTCTTCATGGGCCTCGAGGGTACGGCAAGGCTGCTGCAAAGCAATATCCAGAGCCCTCCATATCCCTCCCTGCAGTCAGGGATCCAGCCCTGACCAGCGTGGGCAGCTGGGGGAGCTACACCCCTGCCACTCTCACGGTGTCAGCGCACTTTTTCCAGTTTTGTCTCACRTGACAATGACAGAGAAGCAACTCGCAGGCTTGTCCTTCGCTACCTGACTTGAGAAACTYGCCTGGTTGCAGCTGCTCTGGGAGCAGGACTACTCTGTGTTGACAAACTATGGTGCCTGTGAAAGCAGACAATCCTTTCTTTCCCTGCCTGGACTGAAGTGTGAAAAGATGAGAAATGAACAGATATATGGAAGAGTGCAAAAGTGCAAATTCGTGTGCATACTCTCTGGCACAGATCAGGGCATTGCAGGCATCTGGGTGCCGCCAGCTGYGTCCTGAGTCTCACCTGACCTTGCCAGACATGGATCTGCCAGGCTGTGGATTCAGGCTGGTCTTGCACAGGCCCTGAGGTCTGTGGTGGTGTTAAATCACTGCCTGCACCCTTCCCTTGGTCTGCCACTTGCTTTTGAGCCATGTGAAATAAACAGCCAAATCCACAAGTCCCTGGGGAGGATCAGTATCTCTGAAATTGCTGTGTGTAAAGTCAACACTGACCCTGTCCTGCGGCTGCCCATGCTCTGACCTTGCCGGTCTGGCCCATTACTCTGCGCTTCAGTTCTGCAGTTTCTGAATAAACACTCCACTTCGTGCTGCAGGCATGTGGTTTCCCTCTCCAGAAGAGCTTCTGGACCGTGTGTGTTGTTTTTTCCTAGCCTCTGCACATAAACAGTCGTGGCTGTCAGGGCATACACGGCACACACGCACKCTCGGGCTGCAGCCTCTGCCGTGCATCTCGAGCTGCAGTGTGGGGCTGAGGTGCTGCTGACACCTGAACAGCCCAGGGAACAATGAGCCCCAGTTATGCACCCTGCTAAGCCAGGCATAACCTTCCCCTGGCAGAGCTGCCCAAATAAATCCTGCCTGTGGCTGGGTTGGCAGCAGCGGGAGCAGAAAACCTCAGGACAGAAGTGTGCGATGCATTTGTGGTGTTCACCATGGATGTATTGTGGGGTTCATAACCTCACCAAAACCCTTCCCYATGGTGCAGGGGGCATGACAAGGTCTGTGCTGAAGGACTGGCAACACAGAGAGTAGCACACAGSCAGACCAGTCCTGGCTATTTGGGGACAAATAAATTAAATCTGCCAACAATAATTTTGCTGTGCAGTATGGTGCCATGAGTGTCCCACCTGGTGGCTCCAGCAAGGTGCAGAAATGGGTGAGAGGGTCAATTCCAGCTGACCAAGCACTGTAGCCATGATAATGGCACATCTCCCAGACTCAGAGGATGGTCACTGACTTTGGAGAGCTCACCTGAGCACATGATGCACCCCAGACTCCTGCTCAGGTGCCTGCAAATGCCAGCTGTAGAGGACACTAGCATTGTAGCAAGTCAGAGCAGCGTGATCTCCTGTGGGTGAGCACAGACCTATCCTTGTAAGGTTTCAATTCACCCTGATCATAAATCTCAGCCAGTAATACTGTGCAATTACAAGATCTGTGGTAGGACTGAAATGAACTCAGGAGKCAAGCCCTGCATTAACCAGTGCCCTCTGATCTATGCCACTGTGAGCAAAGCGGGCTCTTTGAATGCCCAAGGTTGTAGGGCCTTTTTGCAGGTATTTTGTGAAAAGTAAATTGTATCTGTGTGCTAGAAGTGGGAGACGAAAGAGCAGAGGAAGCCCGAAAGACTGCTGATGCACACTGACACTGGAACTGAGCCCTGCCAAAATCTCAAAGGTGACCCTGATACTGGGAGCAACCTAGAACTGAAAATTGTTCAGTTTGGGTTTTTTTTTTTGCAGCAGCAAACCTCCAGGATACCTTGTGTTCAACATCTCCACTCAGGCTCTTTCCATGCTCCCATGTGCTGCCTGAGCTGATTGCCCTATGAAAGAGCCTTAGATAAAAAGCAGAATAACAGCTGATATGAGAAGTGCAGATGTGACTATTTTCAATTTACGTGAGTTCTGGAAGCAGTGAAGCAGTTTACCAGGGAGCCAGGGAGTTATCTTCTCCCATGCCAGAGAAACTTTACTTTCCCTCTGCTAAATTGCCTCCTACAGAAACAAAACTGCACTTGTTCAGCACCTTCTTCACCAGGACTTGTTTTTCCTTCTACTCCCCCATGGCCTTTCTCACAGGAATGTGAATGAGATACAGAGCACCCTGGTTTGTTATGTGGATTGKAAATACTGTTTTGATTGTGCACTTTTAGTAGCCCTTGGTGGGAACTGGCTTATGCCGTTTTCTCCCAGCCATGAATGAAAAAAGTGCTGTTGAGATAAGATTATGCATGTAATTTTATTATTCACCGTAGCCAACTTAAGTGTGTGATCAGGACAGAGCACACAGGATCAATTAATCAATTAATCAATTAATCAATTAATCAATTAATCAATTAATCTGCTTCTAGGCTCAGGAAAGCTGTCAGAAAGCTCAGGCATCTTGACACTCCCCATCTTTCAAAATCTGGATGTCTTGCCTGGTTTTCCTAGAATAATGTAGGAAAAAAAGAGTAAGAGATCAAAAAAACCCACACTGTGAGTCATCCCTCGGCTGCATTCCATCAAGTGGGATGGAGCTGACTATTACAAAATTGACCTGCTCATTTTCCTGTCTTAGGAAGCTGAGGTGACTGCATCCTGGCTTGCCTGTGGCACTGGTGGTGTGTCTGCAGCCCACCCTGCTCACAGCAGGGCTGTCCCTAGTGTGAGGTTATGGTGGCTCTATCTGAGCCCCAACCACCGCCCCCAAGAAGGGAGAACCCCCGCTGATGGAGCACCACCCCTTTGACCTGGTGCCTGTGCCAAATTTTCACTCTCTTGGGGCTGCTGGTTGTGGCTGCTGCCCTGTGTTGTGTCACCTGCACCGAGAAGAGTGTGGCTCCATCCCATTTGAAACTGGAGGCTGCTGCTGGGTACCCCCAGGCATCCCCTCCCTCAGACTGGCTGGGTGCAGCTCCTCCACACTTCCTTGCAGCCTCACTTGACAAGTTGGCCATCCCTCCCCTCYTCAGCCCAGTCTGTGTTATTTTCCACACAAGTGCACCCTGCCATGGCTTTTCCCAGGAGCTGGCAGGCCTGGATGATCATACTTGGCAAGCACCCAGTTTCAGACAGCCAAAATCAAACCCAGGAGGTCTCTGCCAAGGGTATGAGCTTACATTTTTTCCACACAGAGCTGGCATTCATTGGCATATGTATTGCCATCGGTCCCACAGATGGGCAAGTACAGGAGAGGGCAGGCCTGCAGGTGCACCAGATCTTCACACACTGGCTGCAAAGGAGAAACCAGAGCACACATTTCAGAACCAGCAGCACCCATTCTCTTCCCACCAGGACACTCAGGCAGAAGTAAATGCCATGGACAGCCTGGCTCCCTCTGCCTCAGATGGAGCAGGGTGTGCCCACTGAGGATCAGGGGCCACCACATTCCTCAGCGGGACCCTGGGCTGTGGTGTGGGTTTGGGGCTGGAACACCCGTGAGGGTGGGGATGATTGCTGGCAACAGTCTCCCAGGCACACCAGGCATGCCCATCTCAAACCATGAACAAGGAAAACCAGAAACCTCTTACCGTCCTCAGGCCACTCCCTTCATTCACCTCTGCCCCTGAAACAGAGCAAAGACCCATGAGCGTGGCACGCTTGTGACTGATGGCATGAGATATCGACACGTCCAAACCCAAGGGAAGGGAGGTTGTGCAGAGCCCACTCAGGACCGGCTCAGTTCTGTGGGTTCACCAGGGGTGATCAGTTTGCTGCATGTCACTCYCACCCCTCCCTGCCAGCGGTACAGCACACAGCTTCCATCCACGGCTGGGATAAACCAGGGAATGGCTGTGCCCACCCCCTAAATCCTCTCCCAACAGCCCTCTCTCCCAGTCTCTGGGTCAGAAGCTCCACACAGCATCCAACACATCTCAGGAAATGTGAAACATGCAGTACYGCATTTGGCACGGGATATCCTCAGAGGGCTGAGACTTGGTGAGATTGCACAGCTGGACAGCTGCCACCTCCAGGGAGAGCAGCGTTTGGTGGGTTCCTTTTTCTCAGCCAGGCAGAGCAGCAGCAGTTCCCAGCACAGATGTGCGTGCAGCAATGCCCTGAGGGCAGGAAGGCTCACACGYAGGCAGCTGCAGTAGCAATGCAGTAGCACACAGGTAGCAGTGGCCTTCCAGCACCGGCAAACAGGTGTTTCCCACATAAATATGCTGAGCATATGGTGTTCTTGCGAAGACTTGCCAGCGTTCATTGGGACAGGGGCTACAGTAGCTACGGCAGTGTACGTGCTGTCCTCCCAGGACCTGGTTCCTGTTCACATTGTGGACTCTCCCCTAGCCCAGACCTCTCCCAAGTGCAATACATTTTATGAACCTACCTGTAACCCTTACCCCAAACTGCTAATAAGGAGGGCATGGCGTGTTTGCSCCAGTTATTCTCCTCAACATGCTGCCACTGTTTGTTTGCCCTCACCTCACCTSCTCTCCAAACCAGAATTTCTCGGTCTTTCTGCCCTACCACGCATTTCCCTCCRTCCCATTGTTCCTCTGTCATTCCCACCCACCACCGATGATCCAGCCTCCCTCAGCAGAGCAGACTTACCCCCAGCAGCCACGAGAGTCACCATTGCTGCCACCAGCAGCAGCAGCTCCCTTGCAGGCATGGTTGGTCCAGGCAGATCCGCTCGTGCACCTCGCTCTGCCCATGGTGCCTTTATAGGGGAGGGCACTGCCTTATCTCAGGAACACTGGGAAAAGCAGCATTTTGATCTGTGCTGGGAGCAGCTGGACTGTGCACCCAAAGGGATCACTTAGGCACTCTCGTGCAACAGATAAACTTCCCTGGTGCCACTCGTCAGYTTCCCGGTGCCACTCGTGAGCTTCAGGTGGCAGCAGCGGAGGCTGCTGTACAATCCCTTTGCACCAYAGTCAGGGTTGGGCAATCTGCTCTTCTCTGCTTATCCCAGACAGCTGCTTTGGAATGTGTCTCACCCAAACCATCCCTTCAGCTTTGCAGCTGCTGTTCTTCACATGTGATGGATCTCCATTTGAGTTGTAAGGCTAGACACAGAAAAGCCAGGAAAGTCAGGCTGATTTGGGTGGTGGCACTGTGGACTGAGCATTACCCCATGAGACCCAGACAGGTCAATAGTCAACTGCCTGATGCACTGGTCAGGACCCCAAACACAACWGGAAGCCTGTCATGATGCTGCAGCAAGTCACTGTGTGGGATGGGACAGGCTGGGGGTGCAGAGGGGCTGGGGGGTACAAAATTCAGCTGCATGGGGGCAGGGAGCTGCAGGTGCAGTCACTGCCTGTGCTCAGAGAAACCACATTGAGGTGGTTTAATACCTTACTCCGCTCACCACCTTGGCTGCAGCTGAGACTGACAGAGCAAAASTATCTTTATCATAAAATTCAGCGTGTTGGAAGGGAGCTGTGTGCACAAATACCCAGATTAACACAGAGATGGCACACAGAGCAGGGAGGGGACAGAGGGGCTGGAGTTGATTCTCAGCGGTAAGAAGCATGACTTTTCAACAAGCATCACCACCCCAGGATATTCCAGCTGCTTTGCCTRCAGGACTGGACGCTTGATGTCAGTGTGAGCACCCTTATCTCCTCTTTCTCAGAAGCTGGATTTTCCACACCCGTCCCCACTTCCCTTCGGTGAAACAAAACCAGTTGCTAAAGGATGAAAGATGGGAAAGAGGACCACTGGGCATCAAGTCAGTGTAAGACCAGCATTGACTAAAAACTCCTTTGGGTCAGACTTGCTGAAATGAGGTCTGGGCCAGAAGGGACAGTGAGTCACCTTCCCCACAGGAGCAGATGGGATGTGTCCTGTGTGCAAGGGGTGAGGACAGGATGTGTGCCCTGCAGAAACCACCAGCAGGCTGGGAGAGCTCCAGACACACAGAGCACACACATTTGCACTTGCTGGGGATCTGAGCATGACTGTGTTTAATGTTCCTTTAACCTAGAGTAACCAGAGGAAGGTACGCACTGAGACARAGGAGAATGCTTTAGCATCCCCTGTGGGGAGAGGAGTGGACTCTGCAAGGGGCTCCTTWCATCCTTGACATTGGAGGTGCCTCCACACAACTCAGCAGAGCTGTGACCGCTTTTTGAGGAGCAGGAACGTAACCAGTTCAGGGTTCCTCTTCGCAGAATCTTCGTCCTCACGGCTGAGGCAGCTGCGCACATGTTTTATATTCCCTCTTCATGGAGTTTACACAGTGCAATAACCTTTGGCTTTTATTATTATTCCACTTTGGAAATCCCTCAACTAAAGTAAATATTTAACTGCATTAGCAGTTGTTCCCAAGGCACATGGGGTCCTGTTAGTCTTGTTTAGTCTAGTACAAGGGAGGCCAAGGGGGATCTGATAGCAGCCTACAACTGCTGGAAGGGAAGCTGATGGAGCCAATCTCTTTTTGGTGGTGCCAAATGACAGAATTAAAAGCAACTCTCACAAACTTCAGCCTTGAGATGATCAGGTCAGGAGTCAGGAGAGAAACCTTACCCCAGAGGGTGAACAACCCAAACCAGCAGACAGGTGAGACATCTCCATCCTCAGGGGGATACATACCTGATCAAGTTCTGCCACGCACAGGGTTTGTTGGGTGAGCTCTGAAGGACCCTGCCACAAGCATGGCTCCATGGGACAAGCAGCTGTCAGTCTCCARCACACACAGCTGTGTGTCCTTACATCCACATCCTGCAAATCTGGTCCTAGCCAACACTCGACAACATGAACAGCGCAGAGCCCCCTCCTCCTGCAAGCTGCTCACACAAACACACTGCACAGCTCTGGGTGAGGGCTATCTCGAGCCTTTAAAATGTTCTTCTACTATTCTTTTAAATGTTCTACTGTTCTTTTAAATGTTTTTACTACCAAGAAAACATCAAAATGCGGATTGCAATGCCTCYGGTAACACCTCAGGGGCCTTTGGTTCCAAGCACGGCCAGGTTCTTTGATCATGCCAGCAGCAGTGCAGGAGCAACAGGCTGGGGCTGTGCTGCTGGGACACATTGTGTGCTCCAGATCACTCTCCTTGGATGGAGCAGCAGGAAATGTCTGTGTTCCCCCTGTGCTGGAGGCAGCACGGTCAATGGCACTGTGGCAAAGCTGTTGGCTGACGCAGAATATATCTTCCTGATCCTCAGTGGTATTCAAATTCTGCTGCCTTCACAAAGCAAATTAAAATTATATGCAARGAGATGACAAAGGGCAAATGACCTCTTGCAACCTGGTTTTCTCTTTTCAGGCTTTTCTGCCAAGCACAATCTTGCAACCCCGAATGGAAGTCCTGCCTGCTSTACCCCTCAAAGAAGAGCTGGGCAAATTCTTGCTCGGGTGGGACAGGAGGTGTTCTGGTGGCTGCTTCCCCTCACATTGGCTATACAGCTCCAGCTGGCTGTGCCATTTTCTSCCTGCACTTTCACCACTAAGATGGTGATGTAGGAGGCTTCAAGACATAGGATGGGCAGATGTGAGGGCTCTGGATTTGCCTGTGGAGCTGGAGGCCTAGTCCCAGCACCAGCAAGGCACATAGACTGTGCTGGAGACAGCAGCAGAAAAAGAAAGGAGATTTCTGWTTCCAAAACCAATCTCAGACTTGCTCCCTCACAGCACTGCCCTGCCTTTGCACTTGTTCCCACACCCACAGCACCCACCAGCCCATGTCCACACTCTCATCCGGGACAGCTCATTKCATCTCGAACCCTTATTGCACCTTTCCCCTCCCAGGGGACTGCAGCTCTGTTTTCAGGCTTTCCATCTGAGTGGGCACAGATGGCAGCCGGACAAACAGATTGCATCACATGGCTCTTGCCCCATGTCTGCCTGGCCTTATCGGTGCTGTGGCCTTGGTGTCGTCACCCCTCCACCCAGCACCTGCAGTTTCCTTGCTGTTATCTGTTGCCTTTCCTGGATTTCTTGCCTTTTTTCAGCCTTCCCGCATTCTGCACYGACACTGATATTTTAACTCTTTTTCTGCTGCTCCTCCCAGTACCAGCAGATGCCACAGGCACTGAGAGCAGGGTGATGCCTTGCTTGTGCAGCCCAACCCAGAGCCCACCGTGTATTCTCTTATTRCACAATGGGGCAAGGCAAAAAGAGGAGGCAAGTGCCACTCTCATTTTCATCTTGAGCTCACTTCCTGCATCCAGGTGGCTTTTACAGAGAGGATAACAGTCCTGTTCTCTTCCTCTGGATACTCTGAGGTCTTCAATAAGTAAGAGAGAGAAGGAGCAATTTGTTCTCCTTTGTAGGCCAAAAAAAAACCCAGAACAAAACCAAAAAGGCAAAACAAAAACCAAAACCGACACCAGAAATTGCAAGTGTCCCCCAGAGGTTTGCCTTTGGATATGCCGTGGATYCAAAAGCCAACACCAGAAATCTCCCTGTGTAACTGGGGCGGGGACCAGCCATCACCACTTCCCAGCCATTTAGCCTGAGTTTCAGGAATCAAACCACATCACCCTCCTTTTTATTACCGTGAGTAAACACTGCAGCRTGTCAGGCAGCTAGCAGTGCCCATTAATTCTTTTATGGCAGAAGATTTCCCTGACACTGTTGGCTGCGGGAGCACAAGGCAATGAGTGCACGGGCCGATCCTGCCTGCTGACACTCTTGCCAGATGCAGTCAGGGCCAAGGTGGCGTCAGTCTGGAGAAGAACAGAGCTCCCTGCCAAGCCAGGCTGTATCCTGGGCCTTGGAAGTGCAACAGTCTAAGGGAGAATCAGCTACAGCTGTAGCGGGGCAAAAGTTACTGCAGCTTGCCCTGATCCAAGGGCACCAGCATCTCCTCTGCCTTGTGTTTATGTCTGCCTGTTCAGACCTCTGTTTCACAAGGCGTGCTCTAAATGTCTTGGCAGCCTRAGGATGGTGCTGACCTGCCTTTCTCCACATGCTCGCACTCAGGGCTGGGTGACCAAATCCCGAGTGCAGCAGATAGAACAGCAGAAGACACCAGTTTCCTTTTTGCCCAGTAAATTTTGGCACAAAGCACAAAGCACAAAGCACACCAAGCCCCAGTGCTGGTGTCAGGGATGGGATGAGACTGCGTGGCTGGGCTGGGTGGGCAGGGCTCCCTTGCTGCTGTGCTGACATCCCTTCCTGCTCTAAGCTGACACAGATAACCTGGAAGCTGGCAGCTGTAGCAGGTATGCTGCCCCCAGCATATGATGTTCAGTCTTGTTTATCTGGGAATTGACACCCGCTGTAAATTATCTGTAAATTGACACCCGCAAAAAAAAAAAAAAAAAAAAAAGATTTCCCACTCC